TAAAGTTCCACTTTTTTTTCAGTACTTTTTAAATATATGCCATGCTTATGGCAATACCAAAATAAATCTCACTTCATTTTGTAGAGCAGACAATTCTGCATCGATTCATATGTAATAGATCATTTTAAAACACTGCATCATATGATATGCGTTTGGAATTTTTTAGAGGAAGGATGAAAAATTTCGATAATGTCTCGATTCCTTATATTCAGCTTCCGAGCAAATTTTGATAAAATTTTTCATTTCTCTAAAAGAGTTCATCTGATGCAGTTTTTGACGGTGATTCCAATTATCACCTTATTTTAGTTTTTACGGGAAGTTTTGATGACTGAACACTCACTGTTGGTTGGCCATCGTGTTTTCAAGTTTTGGAACTTTTGCACCACTTTTAAAATAAAGTTTTTGTGCAGTTTGTGAAAAATTGAATCCTCTTCGCATGTGACTTTCGAATTGTTGGCGAAAGTGGCAGTTTCTGGAAAATTTTGACCCTTCAAAAGTCCGCTTTTCCGATTGATGTGGGCTTTAAACAGTCACTTCCTACTTCAGAAAAATAAGGAACTATGTGGTTTTGTTTACTTTTTATCAGGCTTTCGAATGAAATATTGCTCGAACAGAACGGATAAAAAATGGTGGAGTTGTAGCCAAAATATCGGAGATGGCTACTTTTAGCAAATCGAGGATGGTGCTCATTTTGTAAATTCTATAACTCAGAAAGTTTAAGTCAGAAAGTTTTTTCATACTTTTCATAATGCCAGTTTTGATAGTAGAATGCGAATATGAAATAAAAAGTATATGCTAATTTTTCACTTTTGACCGGTCTTTGGCAAGATACTCGATTGACTGACGAAGTCTCTCTTAAAGAGCGAGGAGAGGAGATGAACTGTTACTCAAACTTCAGGGCATCACCGGTAGGTCGGAGGTGTTAGTCTAAACCTGACTTTTACGGGTATGTGACCTACGACAAATGAACTATCATCAGCCACCGACTTGAACACTTTTGTGAGGAGGTACATAAAACATATCGGCGCTCAACAAAAACGCTGCTGTTCAAAATCTAATAAGGAGTTATGGTAAAGCTCGATATATAAAAATAGTGAATGAAAAATTAAACAAAATTTCTTATTCTCTATCTTATTCTCTCATCATTTTCTATTATGAAGTGCACAATTTAAGTAGAATACTTCAGTTCGATGGCACAAATTTTTCCGACTCCTCCTGGTGGTGATGATATGCCGCCACCGCCCTCAAATGGTGGTCCGGACGGTGGTGGCGGTGGCGGTCCGGGAGGTGGCGATCCAATGTCCTCATCCTCATCACCTATCGAAATACACATCTATTTATATGGTTATTCAGCTCTATATTCCAGATCTTCGCAAAATGCCTTCCAAGATCTTTACGAATCGGAGCTGGAGTTGGCTGAGCAGCAAGTATGAATTTCTTTTTCTTACATGCTCGTGGATCAGTTGACAACAGGAAAAATAACAGCAGAAGCCACATGTGAGTCATTCTGTATTGACTGAAAATTATAGTGTGGTCAAGGCCGTATTATCGGGCGATTTCATGCGTGTCTTTTCTGGAGCCGGTACACAATTAGACTCATCTCCCGATATATCGCTCGATGGATCCGTTAATATTGCTATTAGATGGATAACCAGATACATCTAGAAATGAATCGGCTGTATCTAGATGTATCGGGCGATAACCCGATATATTTTTCATGCTTGCTTTGTCATCATTTGACCATGCCTCCACCCCTGTGACGTTATCGAAATTATTTTGTTCGAAAAAAGTCCACTTTTCATAATAACCGTGCTGTATCACTGTTCCTTTTCATTTTGTTCTTCATACTGTGAAGAAATACTGTCTCGCAAAACTAGAGATCTGCATATAGTTAAGACGCTTTTTGTGGACAAGTATGGACATAATATCTGTTTGTTTATGGACAAAAAATTCTGTTCATGTTCTGTCCATGAAGTAAGTATACAGTATTTTTTGCTGGCGTATGTTTAAAAAAATGCTTATATTTTTGTGTAATCTGCTTATTTCATCTATTTCGGATGTAAAAAACTACAAGTGACACCGAATTTCATCTCAGAATATATCAGCATGATACCAAAAACGAACAGAATGATTCTCTTCTGTACAGTTGTTACTAACAACGGTATATAAAAAAGGGTTTTTCTCATGTCAAGACCTTTTTAAAAGCTCCATATGGGTTGCTTAAAATACGACCGATAAGCATGTCTATCCGTTTAACTTTTTATTTTGCATCTGTAAAAGTATAAAAGATATACAGGAAATTTCAAAAACTTGACTTCTTTTAAATTAAAATTTTTTTAGCTACTTTGTATCTGACAGCTCTGGTCGGGTGCAGCTCTGTAACACCGACCGCGCCTAATCTAACTCCGATGAGTATGATAAAATTCCGTCTTCAGTTGTATAATTCATCACAGAATATATTTCTGTCAACAGAAACTATTACATCTTGTTTTACACGACTTTCAACTGTTTACATCAATCGATATTAAAAAATAATTAATGTCACAATGGACGAGTTTATGTTTGGCTGAGCAATACTTTGTATGAAAATAAATGCAGTGTTATTAAATTTTAGTTGAGAATAACGAAAAACTATTCGGTGAAGATTCAAGCAAACAGAGCTGAATGTTTCAAGTACTTTTGATGACTAATAACGGGAAACACGCAGAAAATACTAAAGGTCATAGGCGCATGAAAGAATGCAGATATTAACCAATTTTTTTAAGTATAGAGTCATAAATACAAACGATATACAGTTGTTGTTTTGACTATGCAAAATCTATACTAAGAGAAAGAAAAGACAAAAC